TAAGAGGATCATGAGAACACGTGACACTGTCCGGGATGCACTCTCACTGTCTGCCTGGGAGGGAGCAGTGTGGCCCTGCCACACCCCAAGTCATCATGTGACCTCAAGTCCCACTCTGGGCCTCAAGCTTTTATCTGTGAACTGGGAGGAATGGGTCACGTGAACCGAGGCCCCTTCCAGCTCTGACCCGTTTCTGCCTGACCCCTACCTCCCCCTGCTGGAGCCTTCAGGAACTACACCCACCTGCTCCCCTGGTCTCTTTCTGAGGATTTGAACCAAATTACTATCACTCACCCTCTTCTCCCTAGACCCCTACACCAGTCGGCCTGGCTAGGCTGAGGGTGCCGATGTCTGGCTGCGGCTAAAGAGGTGAAAGAATCGTGTGCCAAGAAGCAACTTGACTCCTGATTCGGTATTTGGCAAAAGGGCATGGGCTCCCCAGCCCTTATTGGCACCTCCAACCTGCTCCAAAGGAGAGCAGCATTATACCCCTGTACCAGACCCACCTGGCCAGGTGTCAACAGGGCAGGCGCTGGCTGCTGCTCGCCCAGAAGGCCCTCCTCTCCTCGTCTTCTCGTCCCCTCCTGTCCCCTCCAGTCCAGTCTTCTCCCCTCCCTTCCTATTCCTTCCCCTCCCCTCCCCTCCTCTCCCAGGACTCCCAGCCCATAGAACCACTCTCCACATGTGGGAAGAGGAGAGGTGGGGGGTCAAGGGCTAAGGCCCATGAAAAAAGAGAAAGAAAACCTTTCAACTATTAAATCTGTTTAGTAAAGACAGTTTCGCTCATACAAAACAACAATTTACAACAATCTAAGTGCTGACACACCATCAGACACGGAGGCGCTGCAGGCACTGGAGCCCTCCCCAGGGCAGAGAAGACCTGAGTGCCCCCCCTGCCCTGAGGGAGATGAAAACTGAAGTATTACTGCCACCCCACCCCAAGGGACCATGGCACCGAGGACCTCTCCCCACGCTGCTCCTCGCTCCTCACTGGCCTGGACACATGAAGCCAAGCTGTTTGGGGTGGAGGGGAGTGGCTAATGGATCGGGGCAGAGTCGGGGCATCTTTGGTGTGAAGACCCCCCCACCCACTAGGCCACACAATGGAAATGTGTGGGAGGCCACAGGGTGGTGCTGCCTTTGCCCAACGCCAGGGCCCAGGGCAAAGCGCAGAAGCTGTGTCCCATATAAAGTGCCCAGGTTCACCCCGGTGAGCTGAGAGGAGGCCTGCGAAGAAATGGCTAAAAATGTAAGAAAAATAAGCAATGGGCGAACAAAGGCAGGAAGGGGAAGCAGAGGTTACTCGGTAGATGAGCGCCTCAGAGACTAGGACCAGCACTAAGTGGGGGGCGGGGGGGGGGGGGCCC